TTGTTGTTTATAAATGGAAACTTATTGGGCTAGGAACAGTTCTTTAAGGTAAAAGAGGCCTAACAAAGAGAATGACAATATGCAGTGTTGCAGAGTAGCCTTGAAAAGGGGAGCTCTAGTGGCCCACTCGTTAGTCTCCCTCAGTGAGGAGGTAGTGCAAGGTCCAGGAGTACATAACAATCATCACAGGCGGCCCACTTTGTAGATGGTTGAACTGCTCATCCACGGCTGTGCCTCTTTGGCAGCTCAAATCCACTAGCATTTCCATGGGAGAAAGATGGGCCCTCTACCCATGGGATGTACAACCTCAGAAACCCACTGGAGGGTCAGCGCTGAGTCACTTCCGACTGGGTGGCTGTGTGCTTTTGGTTTTGGAACCTTGGAAAGGAGGTAAGGGCTTGCTTTCTCCATGACAAAAACCTAAGCGATACAAATGACAGGAAATTCTGAGATACTTTGCAATAAGAAGAATATATACATCCAATGAATAATCAGTTTCTATCTTCAGTAAATCTGAAGAGAGGTTATTTGAGGAAAGAGGGGAGGCAAAATAGGGTTTCTAATCTGAGGAGAATAGAAGATATTCAGAACAATCATTGAGAGGAATCAGCAAGGGATGACGATGGGGTGTGCCACGCGTTATTGGTGGATCAGCTGTAATTAAATAGCATAAACTTGTGTTGAAACCAATCAGCATCATTAAGTAACTTTCAGCAGCAATTCTGAGGCCATGGGAAATGAAAATAGAGACAAAAGATTTTGAAGTCTGGCATGTCTGGGCTCTGGTAAAACAAATTCACATTAGATCTGATTATAGGGGCAGGTTAAATGAAGAATTTACTAGTGCAAATATAACCACAATTGAAATGACTAACCTTGAGATACACAGAGGATAAGAAGACAAATATTATTTAAAGGAAGGTGGGAAACTCAGAAAATAGGAAGTTATTAAGTAACTTGCAGCCAGGGAAGAAGAAATTAGAGCTTATTTGAGTGAGTCAGTAAGACAATCGAAAGGTCAGAAGATTGCAGCCCGAGGAGACTGTTAACGGAGTAGATTTTTGAAGCAGGGAACACAGTGAAGACAAGAGAAGATTGTGGCTGTGCTGCCGAGAAGCTGAGATGAAATAGAAGCAAAATGTGTTGGAGTTGAGGTCAATGAGAGCGAAGCTAGAGTGGATGTTGAGGGGATGATTTACGAGCAAGGATGTTCAGACAGCTGTGGAGACGGAATGCGCCCAAAGTAGGTACAAAAACTGTTGATCAAAAGACAGAAATCTTCAAAGGAATTGGTAGAGTATCTCAAGTTCTGAATATGTTGGGAGAGTGTGATCTAACAACTGTTTATAATGTGTTGCGTCAGGAAGGAGGGAAAATATGATAGGTAATGGGGACAAAAGGTGGTCTGCAAGCATTTCGGAAACATGGAGGTAAGTGATCTGTATGTTGTGTCACTGGAAGCAGAGTAGTCTTAAGATGACTGGGCAAGATATATCATAATATGTAAAAGCCATGTTTCTGTTTTTTGGCTGAAAGTAGAAAGAGCGATTGAGGACATACCAAAACCCCAAATCTGCTGCCATTGAGTCAACACCAACCCCTGTCAACTCATAGGACAGAGCAGGACTACTCAGAGTTTTCAAGGCTCAAATCTTTACAGAAATAGATGTGGAGCAGCTGGTGAATTTGAGCCACTGACTTTTGATCATTGTGCTATTGTGTACCGTCAAGTCAGAACCTACCCATAGCTGACCCTCACATAATAGATTGCCTCTCCTCCCACAGAGCAGCTGATGGATTCAAACCCAGTGCCTTTGAGATTGCAGCACATCTTCTTGCCACTAGGCAGCTGATCAAATTCTTTAACTACTACTCTCCCAGTTCTCCTCAATGGTGTAAGGTAGTTAATGTCTATTAAGAAAATCGTTTTAGAGGTTATGGTAGAAAAGGATGCATGAGGACAGTGGAAGCATGTTGTGTCTGGAATTGGAGTTGGCTTGGGATAAGCTAGTTGAAAGCAAATTTTGAATTCAGGGCATAGAACAATAATTATTGATGACAAGGATGAAGGAGAGATGATGGAACAATCTGAAACAAGGAGAGGGTAAGTAAGGTTTTATAATTAGCGGACGATATGTAATTAAGTAGTCTTGAGTTTCTAAATGTAACATTGGTATAACATTAGAATATCTATTTGGAATGTTAGTGTGACCAATTGGAACACTGGCATGACCAATTGGAATGGCTATTAGAACTTCAGTGCACCCGATTAGAATGCTGTCCTCATCCTCTGGAACATTGGTGTGACCAATTGCACGCTGGAAGTTAAAATGGCCTGAGGGATTTTGGACCAAATAATGAGAGTAGAATAGATTTAGAATTGCTTTTAAGAGAGAGAAATTCCAACTTTTTTATTATTATTATTCCTATGAAAGCTGTGTCTCAGAGGCTGGTCAGTAGACTGCGTGAATATCTTCATATACTCACATAGCAGGTATTGTGTCTTTGATTGTCAGGTCCTTAGTCTTTGGCATCTGATATATTTATTGAATAAGTGGATAAAGTCTAGTTGAAAATGTTTTCCTCAGATTTCAGCACTCCTAAGCTGTTGTTAAGTTGTTCTTTCTTGGCTTGTATAATTGCACCTTTCCCCTCTTTTAGTGGGCTGCTGGGAAGGTAAAAATATATATATATATTTTGTTCATCACTAGCAGTGATCAAAACAAAAGTTTTTGATGTAGATTTTATACCAACCATAACTACTGTCAACTATTTCTTGACTATTTTTATTTTTAATTTTTTTAAAACTAGTATTTATTTTTCCAAAACACATCAGATCACTTTTGGAACAGAGAAGGTAGATGAAAGGATAGAGAAGTAGATGGAGAATGAGGTGATGGAGGCAGAGCAAAATGAGGAAAAGTAAGAGAAGGGTATATGTGAGCTGGGAACATGGCAAGTATTTACATCTTAGGGTGTTCCAGACCCAGAGATCTTTTCATTTTGTGGGCCTGTACCCAGGGAAGGTTATGAGGATCTTTTATGGCATTTCAGCCTTGATCACTAGTAGATAATATGTGTTCAGAGAAAGCTTGTCAATCTGAGAAGTTATTCATAGACTCATGAAGAATCTGTTGATGGACTGTTTTTCAGCATGTATTTGGAAAATCTCTTTTGATACTCTTGAACTTCTTCCTGTGTTTGGGAAGCAGTGTGCTACATTAGACAGAAATGAGTTTTAGAGTTAAGGAGATCTTGAATTGGAGATTAACTGCTGCTGCTGATCATGTGTCTTTGGTCAAGAGATTTCCTTCACATCTGTGGACCTATTTTCTCATCTGTAAACATGGGCTAATAATATTACTGACAGATCACTGGGAGACTTTATTCAGAGGATGCATGTAAAAAACCCTAAAGTACCTGGTGCAGAGACACTCAACAAATCTAAGTCCCTCCATTATATTGTACATACTTAACCCGCAAAAATAACTTGTGGTTCAGGCCCTGCAGTGCAGCTACCTCTACCCTTAAGCCATCTCATGACTCTCTGGCTGAGAAAAATCTGTCTTCCTTGGAGCTCCTATTTGCTGAACTGTTTGTCTTCTAGATATTCATCTCCTCAGATTAGTAAATGGACAGAGGATCATGACTCAGAGGTTTGGAGGCCTTTGGCTTGGGATATCATGTATTTTAAAACAAAACTCTTGTCCTGACAAGATAGCATCTGAGGATGGCTCTGAATACTTGAATTCAAAAGCTGTACCTCAGAATGTTGAGTTCTCATGCCTGTGGTGGGATTGGGCTGTTAAAGGTGGTATAAAATGCTCAGACCTTTGCAAGGTATAGGGCCTTGTCTTAGATTGTTCCCATCTGCTCATTTGGGCTGATGCTTTCCTGGCTGCTGTCTATGTGTTCTACTTGCTAAGATTTGTGTAGCCAGTGTGTCAATGTCAGTGCCAGGCTTTGGACTTCAAGGGATATTGCATTGTCTCAAAGGAAAAATAGTTTGTACTTGGATTTTTTGAGGTCCTTCATGTCTGAGCAGGAATGTTGCCTATCACATTGTCCTTTTCACCACATCATTTTTATTACTGGCTTGTCTGTTAGTGGCAGGTATTAACAAGGATCTGAGGCTTCCGATTTGTGATCTCCCACTGCTCTAGTGATGGCAGGACTACTTCACTGCTCTATCCTCCTAATAAAGAACTGTCTTTTTTGTTACACCACACAGCAACTAAATTTTCATTTTGATGCAGTGCAGAAAAGATCTCTCTCATATAATATTATTCCAATATAATCATGGCAAGAGAAGGATGGGCAATCTCCTGTACAATTTACTGCCTCTGAAAATGAGTAAGGAGGATCAGCTATGCGTCATTTCCAACTCAAGGGTACACAACAACAACATAATCATTAGACTTTAGGAAATGCTTCTGATACTCACTTAACATCTATTTTATGTTTTCAGCTCCCTTCTAGGTTCATTTCAGTGCTTTGCTAATATGAAGTAGGTTGAAGAGTTGACTGAGCATTAACTGAGCTTAGGAACTAAATTTAGTTAAAATTTAAAATAAAATTTAGTTATTAAAACTCTATTGATAACATAAGCTTGTTCATTTCTTTGGTTTTTCTTTATTTAGTGAAGAAAGGCTGCTATTCTACCCTAAAAAATTGTACATGGAAAAATTTAGGGTTTTCCAGCATATCAGTTTGATTATTTTAATCTCTGTTTGGAAATGGCTGATAATGTTTTCTAAATGGCGAGTATTTTTGAGAGTGAAGCTCACACTGTCCTTCACAGCACAGTGCGTGGCGATAAGAACAGACTGTGCCATCCCAGAGTGACCCAGTATCTCGATCCACTTCAGGCATGTCTGTGGCTCACAGGCTCTGTATCATGCATTGTACAATTGAGAGATTATGTTACGTGCTTATGGTAGAACTAGGATTTTCCTTGTTCCCATGATGGTTTGGATGCTGACATATGCTTTTGCTTGCAGGAGCTGCTAAGTCGCACAACTCTTGAGACTCAGAAGCTTGACCTGATGACTGAAGTATCTGAGTTGAAGCTCAAACTGGTTGGTATGGAGAAAGAGCAGAGAGAACAGGAGGAGAAACAGAAGAAAGCAGAGGTGGGTGTGATACACCAAATTCCAGTGGTATCTAGAATGTCTTGAGTTTAAAACAGGGGGTAGGCCAGGCTAATGTTGACTTGGGCCATCTGGTCAACCCCAACCCTGACAGCCATTGGATGCCAGAAACGTCTATGCCCTAGAGTATGCAATGATCTTTTAATACCAAGTTGTCAGATTCTGCTGTGGCTGCAAATTCCAGCAATACCCAAACCACCCAGTTTTGGCTTAAAGGCTTTATTCTCCCTCAAGTTGCTGACAAGGGTGGAAAGAGAAGTAATAGTTAGGAGGTTCAGGCAAGACGTAAGGGACATAAGATGTCTTTGGCCAGAGCCAGTGCTGTGATCTGGTAACAAGATGAACTCAGCCTCTTATCAGGCCACTACCACTGTATCTAAGGAGTATGGACACATTTTTTTCCATGTACATTTTCCTAACCCAGATGGAATCCCCAGATTGTGTGTTTCTTTTCACCATGTTGCTCATATAAGAATGAGCGTATGTGTAGGGCCTCTCTTAGAAAATGTTTTCCCATTCTTTGTTGTGTTTCGTTTTTGTTTTTTTGGGTGGGTTGGTGGGGTTTTTTGTTTGTTTGTTTGTTTGTTTTTGGTTTTTTTTTTAGACTCCATTTGGCATTTATTCCATAAGAGTGTGTGAGACGACTTTTGGATAAATGTTTAGAGATGTTTAGACTCAGAGTACTTTTTTTTTTTTTTTTAAATTTGTAAGTGGGTAAACTGTAGTTGTCATAGCTAGCTATCTTTTGTGTGTCTGGGCCTATAAGTCCCTATACTCACGTCAGGCAACATGTGTGGGACCATGATCGGCTTCAGATAGATATCGAAACATATTGGCTCAATTACTGACCTGTTTAATAGTGGTATGACCTTCAACAAGTCAGCTACTTAAATTCCCTGACCTTTAATCCATTTTTCTGTAAAATGGATAACTAGGTGATGAAGACCAAATAAAGTCATACAAGTTAAGCACCTATTACAGTATCTAGAATTTTGTGGAGAATTCTTTTATCTTACCACCAAGTTTGTCATCCTTATTGTTAGTGGGGAGTCAGTTCTAGCTACTGCAGAACCAAACCCAGCCCATCCTTCCTGCGTCATCCACACAATCTTGGCTGTGTGTAAGTCTGCCATTCTATTCAGGTGTATAAAATCTAACGGTGTAATTGATCCTTTCTCATAAATGCAACTTGCCATACTTTTGTGTTTCTTGGGCAAAGGCTGATGGTTGAAATACATCTAACCTGCAGGGAATATTTCTTGCATTATTTTTGAAAATATGTTCATTGATAAGAAATAAATATGATTGCCAAAAAAGCAGAGGACAGTATATTCTAATGATTAAGAATATAGACTTTTGAATCACATTTCTTAGCTTTGATCCAAACAATAGCTTTGCGATTGTAAGCAAGTAATTTAGTTTCCCACACTTCTATTTTCTCTTCTGTGACACGGAATCAATAATACTTCTTGCTTCCTGAGTTGTTGTGAGAAGTGACTAAGATAATGTTCACATCACCCTTAGCTTACTGTGAGCTAGCATTAGTTTTCTTACTGACAGTGTTAAGGATCTCTCATAGCTTAGAGATGAAATATTTGACGCATAACCTCAAAGTTTGTGATTTGTATTCACCAGATAAGGCAATCTGCTCTGATAAAGATTGACAGCCTCTGAAACCCTGTGGAACCTTCTCTATCTCATAGGGTAGCTATGAGTTGGAATGGATTCATCAGCCCTGGTTAGTGGTTAAACCCACAAACTTTGGAAGCCTGTTTGTGTGGAATGGTAGTTAAATGGACTGTACTTTGTAAATATTCAGAAACAATTGTGTTTTCCTTTGGTTTAAAGTTATTTTACCAAACTTTTACGATAGGACTTTGGGGGACAACATTCAATAAACTCTCTGAGAAGGTTTAAAATGGCAGAGACTTAAAAAAAAATCGGTAGAGACGATTCACAGCTATTCAAGGTGGGAAAGAGGGACAGATGGTTATTAGGTCAAACAATTAAAAATCTAATATATCCAGGTCCCGGTGACCCCAGGTATCACTGGAAATCAGTCTTTTTCTCTCCCTTACTTACTGTATCCCATTTTAGCTTTATTCTCAGGAGGCCTTTCTCCAAGTTATGACACAGATGCCCCCAGCTGGGTCTAGATTTATATCCTACCAGCCTGGCTACTCATGTAAGGAATGAGATTCTCTTTCTCAGAGTTCCAGGGAAAGCCTCAGCATTGCACATCATTGGGCCAATTTGGGTCATATGTCTGGTTCTGATTCTACGGACAGGTGATAGGGTTATAGGTGAAAGTGAGGGCCCAGCCTGTCCGTGAAAGTATGCATAGTTAGCAAGCCCCAAGCTGGAGATGCTCAGGCCCTGCCAGGGAGTAGCAGAAGGAAGGACCTATGCCTGGGACAAATCTTGGGCAGCCTGTATAATGTTTATTTTTTCCTTATTGTCATTCTGAAAGATTCTTTTTATTTTTTTACCATTAATGACATTTATTATTTTTATTGTGATTTAAGTGAATGTTTACAAAACAAATTGGTTTTTCTTTCATGTGTACACATTTTGTTATATAACATTAATTGCAACACCCAGAGTGTAACTGCACTCTTCCCACTTCTTCATGTGATTCTTGTTTCCACTAATCTTTCTGTCCAACGCTTTCCTGACTTTCGTGCTTTATCCTTAAATGAATGCTGCCTTTTTGACCTCGTATGGTTGATTATTTTAAGGAATGATTGTGCCACCCTGGTATGACATTTCATTGACCTGTGCTTTGTTAGGGTGGATAAGGATTGGCTTTTAAATCTGAATTTCGATCATGTTGCTTTTCATGAAGCTATTCCTGCATGAATAAGCTGTAGTGGTGCAGTGGTATAGTGTTAAACTGCTAACGAAAAGATTGGTGGTTTGAACTCACCAGCTCCTTTGCAGAAGGTTGGGGCAATCTGCTTCAATAATTACAGCTTTCTTTCGATCCTTACGGGGGCATTTGTACTCTGTTCTGTAGAGTCACTGTGAATGAGAAGTGACTCAAACCAAGAAAGAAACCAAATCCACTGCTGTTGTGTAGCTTAGCAGCCCAACACTAAATCCAGTGTGCCACCAGAGCTCCTTTTTCACATCATGACGATAGGTTATTATGGCAAAAAGTAGCATAGATGCTGAGCCCCTGGCCTCAGTCCTACCAGATAACAGCCCTTCCCAGTTGGTAGTACAAATATTATTATAGTTCCACATGGAAGATTTTTTTTTAGGCTGTTGAAACTTGTGATAATCAGTGAACAGCCACAGGATCCAAAACAATTCTTTATTCTTGTAAGGGAACATGATCTTTATTTGTATGCCCAGACCTGTACCTTTATTTGCCACAATCTTGAGCACCAGAGGCTTAAAATCATGGGGTGCTGCTTAAATTGCCCCATTGTCATGTACATAGAAATGTTTACTTTGAGTGAGGCCTTCAGTTAGCTAAGATCATGGGAGGTGGTAGTTGCATCAGTACAGGGAATGCAGCTTTAGGTCCTACACTGTTGCTGTTTTCGTTTGGGTTTTTTTTTCCCCCCCAATGAACTTAGCCTCAGAGCTGATTGCTTGTGGTTTGGTAAAGTTAGGGCTTTCCCCCCTTCCTTTAAGGTAATCAGAACTGAAATAAACATCCTTGTAGTCCAGGCTTCTTCCTCAAGTTCTACTTGAATTCCAAAGGGGGAAAGATGGGATGCAGTTAATGAGAGTATTGCAGTCTGCTCCTTCTGTCTCTGCTGATTGTCATCATTCCACCCAGGAATCCTGCTGCTTGTAGTAAATTGTGAAATGACTACTGAAGGTTTTGTTATCAGGCCTGGAGACTGTAAGGGGTAGGTTTCTTGCCTAATGGAGAGAATCGTTGATGGCCAGATTGTTGAGGAGTCAGCCAGTCAGTGGCTGCCCATATGAGATGTGGGTAAAAATACTGGGATTTCTCTTATGCTTTCTTAGCAGCTTCTTACAAGATTGAGTCAATTAGATTTACTCCTGAAAAACTAGACTGCACGAGAGTGATTGAGAAGGAAAGTCAGTATCAGGGTTAGATAGAAGGATGAGACATAAAAGAAAGTGATCCAGAGGCCAAGAGAAACTTCTACTGCTCATTAACTCAAAGGAGATGTAAAGTTTCTAAAAGCAAACAAAAACTTGTAGCTGGGTCCCACTATGGGTTAAGAGGGTTCTGCCTGAAGCTCCTGAGAGGCCTGTTACGAGGAAAGCAGGGAGACAGGATGTTCTGGGAAGTAAGGCCAGCCCAACTGATGAAAGATAAAATGAAAAGAACCAGAAAGAATCATTAAGACTTCCTTGACAGAATAAGGGATGGTTTATAGCATAGGCTGTTAGCATTCCCATTCTGTCTTTCGTCTTGGATTTTGGAGGAGAAAGATTCTGCCTTCTGAACTGGGTCAATTAGAACATGGATTTAGAATACAGAGCAAGGGCCAGCAAGATTGTTATATTTTCTCAGAATTGAGAGAGGCTAACTAGGGGTTTCATTGTTCTTATTTTATTTGTTTATTTTTGTTTACTTATTTTTATTAGAATAGAAAGTATATTCACACTTCAAAAGCATATTCACACAACTCAAATCAGAAGCTCAAAAGAGTATACAGCAAAATAATCTTCCTCCATGCTGTCCCCAGCTTTCTAGGAACCAGTATAATTAATTGGTTTTATATTGTTTATTGGTTTTTATTTCCAAAGTTGTCTTACGGATACAGAACAGCAAACCTCATGTGGATAACACACACACACACACACATACATACACACACACTTACACACACACACACACACTTACACACACATTTTTTATTGTTTCTCTAAATTTTGAGCAAATACACAATATCCTGTTACATTTCCCCCCATTTCTTTTAATTAAATAATCCTGGTGTTCATTTTATACATGATACATTAAAAAAAGAAAAAACTTCTTCTTTGTGTCTACA